ATATCGGGCCAAAAAATCAAATATGTTGAATATCCCCGATTTGAGGTCRGAGCGGTCCCAACGTCCTTCTGAGCCGACTTTATCACTCTTAACTCACCACCCAGGAATATCTGCTATGATTATCCTTAGAGCCATCACGATAATCTGGACTTCCTTAAGATTGTTGGAAGGGCAAAAATCAGCATGATTATCTTTCCGTGTGACGCAGCCCTTAGCAGTTCAAACAATTAATTGCAGAACGTTGCATGGCTGCAATGACAGACAGTTAATTATTAGGGATGAAACGATACAGAAAATTCACGATTCGATTCAGTTCAGTACTTTAGTGGCATGGTTTGATATTTTTTGATTCAAAAAAGGAGAATTTTTGATTAGTCATTATTACAGTTCTAGATAACGCCAATTTAGTTTTGCTTAGTCATTTGCTTTCACAATGTCTGCAATTTAATTTATACAAGACATCTTTAAGTGGAATTAAGACTTGTCAGAACTAAAAGCAAGATATCTTGAAAGCAAATAATGACTGGGCAAAACTAACTTAGTGATATATCTAACTGTATCTTTAATCAAAATTCCTTTTAATATACGTTAAATTGGAGCCTCCATACAWCCTAATGATAAATCTGACCTCATTAATGTACTTGTCAGAATTGAATTAGAGATATCTCAAACAGGTATTTTTGACTAGCTAAAATATATTTAAAGATATCTTAAATAACGAACATGTCATAAACCAATTTTAGATATCTGGAATGTTAAGTGGTGAAGTCGATTTTATGCTAAAATGGTCTGCCATACTCTATCCCTAACTGTCAGGAGGAGGAGGGTGAGACTGGTGGTTCTGTGACCTAAAATCTATGTTACAAGCTGATGATTTAAATATATATGTCGAACACTTCAGCTGATTCTATCTACTCATCTAAAATATTCATGCGCAGTGTCATTCAGATTTGCAGTGCATACATTACTCGTCGTAATAAAACCATTTTGAGCCTTAATAAACTTACAACACTGACTTTGCCCATGAGAGCCCATAGACTGCTGGTAAACAATGGATAATTGGGATAATATATGGGAATTAGACATGCTTTGCAGTAAAGGACACAAACAGGGGATTTGGAGTAATGATATTGATTCATACGTAATTGTCACTCTGGTGTAGCATATCCTTTTGATAAACTGACTCTGGCTCTGCCATGCCTGCATTTTCTCGCAAATAAAACTTAATCTGTTGCACATATTTTATTGTTGCTCAAATAGACTTACGCTTCTTTCTTATTTAGACGTACTCGACAAACAGCTGCTGAAAACACGAGCTGCTGCGACAAAATTGTACTGCAACAGCATGGAAAAACAAGCAATAAATACTGTTCAAAAAAAAAAGAAAACTAACTGATTAATTCTTCTCTCCCTGGATCCAATTCATGGCTCTGAACTCATAGTTTACCGAGCTGACATTACAGCCTGCCCAAATAGTTTCAAAGAAGGGCTTAAAATCGATGTGCAATTAGGGGTGTCTTGTATCAGGCATGATGAATTATGCTCTCTGTTCTAAGGCTGGGTTATAGACACTTGATCAATTCACTTTCCTGGGCTGAGGAGAAATTGCTCTATTCCAAAGCCRTTCAGTCAAATGTATTGATTAACTATTGTGTTCTGGATTGAAAGTCTGTCCAGGGTCCGCTCTGTGCAGAGAAGCTGTTGTAAGAAAAGATTTGGTCTGCGCCTGCTGCCACATAACAAAGCATGTGATAAATTCTACCAGCTAGCTTACACAACTTTAATTTTTCCTCAGCGTCGACTTCGGAGCAAAAAAAAAAAAAAAATTCACGATGCTCTAAAAGGGCACAGTAACCCGACCCTTTTTACTTTAATAAAAGCACCTTGCTCTGAAAATAAACATAATTTTACAATTCTTAAAATTTATTTTATACGTATTTTACAACACAAAATGTAGGCTGACAAAATTATTTTAAAAAAATCATAAAGAAATCTTACAAAACACAAGAAAACCAAAGAAACGCACCAAAAAAAGTGCAATATAATACTATTCTGTAAAGTGTCTCTAGTTCGGYGAGCTCTAAATGACAGTTTCATGGCACACTTCTCTAAACAAATCATCATAACCTTCAGCTACAGGAGACAATCAACACTTTCTCATCAGAGTACGCTGAATGTAATTAGGGGCTGAGGAATGGTCTTGTTTATATCACTGTAAACTCATTGAACCCCAGTTGGGGTGTTATTTACCCACTTGAAATAGGCCAGACTGCATTTGTGATCAAGGCTATGTTAATAAGATTCATATTACATGGTGCAACCGTAAACAGTGCGTGCTACACCTTACCCTGGGGGAGACCACGGCGCTCAAGTTTGGAAATGCAATATGAACGCCTGTCTGTCTCCCTTCCCCCTAACGGAAGAGTTCACTGTCTGGTTAGAGTCAGCCCATCTCCCCAATGGCTTTCAGGTTCTGAATGTGCATTGTCAGGATATCCTCCCACAGGCTCGTCAGACCGGGTGCTCTCTCAGCAGGAACCTCATCTAACCTTAAATTTTGCACTCCGGGGGGGATCGGCAACTCTACCAACACACGTGTGAATCACACACACGGCACTGTGCAATGGCTGTTACTTTTGGAATTTAGATTMTTTTCCATGACATAATAGCATCCGCATGTGCTCCGGTTGTTTTAAATTGGTTCTAAAGAAACAAGCAGAGTGATAAAAAAAGCAGTTTTCAAAAATAAGTGGTTCTCCGACAAACACAGTATCCCTCCCCCAATCCGGTTCAACATCCAATAGAATACGCTGAAAGAGTTTAAATCTGCAGAAGAAATTGGACATTTTTCATGCGCACCGTTGAACACAAGGAGGACTTGTAACTTAAGCTAAATCAATTTAGGTTYCTCTGCTGGCTGCATGTTCTATAATAAAGCCGCAAAGCCTAAAACTTGTAAAGCCACCAACGTGTTGTTTAAAATACAAACTGACTGAAGAAATACTCACATTCCAGTTCTGCAGTTCTCGCTTATAATTCGGATTTTTCTCTTCATCTGGACCCACAAAACCTGAACACAAAAGATAATTCTTCTCTTTTTTCTTTTCAAAATACACCGACACAACATGCTTTTTCTCAAAACCCACGCTGACAAACATGACAGGATGTAGTTTTCTTTTTTGTCCATAATTTTATCTTCTTTTTCTCTTCATCAACAACAGATTATGTACATACAGATGTCGTGGGTCACTGGAATACCCAGCTGACACAAAACAGCGTGTGAGTAACAAAAATAATGTCATAAAGGACAATAAAAGTGTGAAAACGTGACAGAGACGGTCAAAAAAATAATAAAATAAAAAAGACTTGCAGACAAAACGACCTGCTTTTGTGCTTGAAATGGAATCCATCGTTGTTTTCGGAGCAAGAGGTTGCATGCACAAACGATGCGTTCTTTAACACAGACGATCCAAATACACCGCGGCGGGAACGACTTCTTGAATACGACATGTAAGTGTCCAAGATCGAGGGYCATTTAAACAGAGCTTCACAATCATCTCAGAGGACTGTACACRATAAAAGTACAACAACAGACTTATTTTATAGAGCTTGTTAAGGGCAGATAATTTCAAATATTACACCACAGATTTAACCAGGACTCATATCTCCTGCACAGTAAAATTAGGGGTTATTGCTGGTTTGAAATTAAAGTCAAAAGAATAAAACACATTCATCCGTTTGATTCAACGCCGACTAATTTCCTTCTTGTTGTTGTCAGAGTTCAGCCAAGGTAAACATCCCTCTGTGCAGGCTCGTTGTGACAGATTTGCATACAGTCGCTTCTTGTTTGCAAAACAGTGTTCCAGAGACGCACCGAAAGCCACCATGTTGAAATACGGGCTTTCCTCACACTGTTTGTGCTTTGAAGAGGAAGTGGCTAAATAACGGTGCCATTGGGGGGAGGTTGCAGTGCTTATGCCTACATGTCACAGGTACACCCTGGAGGGAGTAGCGGCACACCGAGGCGAGGTTGTCCTTGAGGAGGATTCCTGTCAGCGGCGGGATTGAGCTTGATTTATGGGGGCCATAACTGGGCGGCAGGAAGGACAGGTGAGGCTCCTCGGCTCAGCCAGCCACAGGTAATGGTTAATTACAACTTTATCTCCTCATGGCCTGGCAGAACAAGAGCCGACTTACAGCCACAACCAGAGACTGACATGGATCCAAATCCTTTTATCTAGCGTGGTCGGAGAGGAAATACCATGACGAGTGGACAAATGTGCTGGAAACGTGTTCGATGCTGTTCAAAGCATGGCAAAGAGAGTCAAATACTTAAACTGTTACAAATTATAAATTACATCACCGGTCACCGCTTCTGGACTCAAATAACGTGATTTCTTTAAACAATTTTTTCAAAACGTGTCTTAAAAAGCTTGTAATGGCAAAATATAGCACGTCACTTCAAAAACTTTACACTTTTTTATGTTTTTTTTGTCTCCATTGAAGTTGTTGCATGTGTGTGAGTAAAGTATAAAAACTTATTTTGTTTTTTTTTTGTATTTTTTTCTCCCACTCACAACCTTTCACCATTAAATTGTGTTCATTTTTTTCCTTACATGGAATTACTATTCATAGTTATTCAAATACTTATTAACATCATCATCATTTTCATCATCATCATCGGTAGCAGTAGTATTATTAACACCAAAAAAGTGAAAGCAGGTGCAGAGTAAAACAGACACAGTGCAGGGAGGGGGGGTAGGGTGGGAGGAAGTGTTTAGACTCACAGACAGGAACATCTCTAACCAGTACATGCTATCAACAAGCAACAAAGGAGATGGAGTTGCAGCTTTGAAACAGAAGATATTTTTGTCAGTTGACAGTCTCTTGCTGCTTCAGAAGACTGGATTGAAGTCGAGGCTTACTGGAGATCTTGTTTGACGCGAAGCGTCTTGACGCTGCCGGCATGGCCTCATACTGCATATATTTACACNGGTGGGGGGTGTTGGCACACAGCAGAGAACACTACAGCAATGCGAAGGGCAACTAGACGAAGCACTTTGAACAGAGAGGCGGGGAGGGTTTAAAAAAAAAAAGGTTTGGGTAGTGAGGGCTACATGCGAAACCTTATATAACCCCCCCATTTACAAAGGGGTTATTAAGACTGATGCCGTCACCACTCACCCTTTTTTGATTTGTACATTTTGACATCATTTATAGCAGATTCACTGCTACACAGTTAAAATAATAGTAAAAAAAATCCATACATGTGTCACTTATYCGTGTGTGTGTGTGTGTGTGWGATCAAAGGGTTAAACTTCACATGACCACCAGCTGGACAATTTTCAAAAAGGTGACCACAACATTACCTTCATTCCATAAATAACCACTAAATTATTGTGATTTGATGTGTTATTTCCATAAGGCAAACGTTGTAGGTCAGTCAATAGTCTGTGCAGTATCTTACATAAATGACCATCCATTGTTAGATTATCTATTTTTCTCATTTATCGCCATCAGGAATATACACTTTCTACTAACATCATCCCACTGGTAGGAAAACAAGGTGATGAGGGGAAGTACCAAGGCTTTCTTGGAGACAAAAAGAGACAAATTGTATATGTGTGAGGGAGAAAAACAGAAAAAAAGGGTACATTATTAATAGGGTGAATTCAAAATTGAATCGAGGGTGCAGATTTTTTTTTTCGGGGTGGGGAAGGAGTTGTCGTGCGTCCGATGCGGTGGTTTGATGGCTCCTGGAATAATGCATATTCTTTTTTTTTGTTCACAGTGATGGGTTCGTAATTAAAGAATTTCTTTTCCGTTTTCCTTCCGTCGTGGGGGCGAGGGCAGGGAGCAGAGGAGGAAGTAGGGCTTCCGGGGACGTTTAAGGACGATTCCAAACGCACTGTGGTCATTACACTTTGAGCAGGAGAAACGCAGAGAGGGCAATCCAAACGCACACGCTCACACTCATCCCTGCGTGTAAACCGGTCCCTCGTCCCTGGAGGGCCCCTGGTCCTGGATAAAGAAATAATGGGTTGAAAAAGAAAACAGTGACGGGAGGGGGAAAGAGGGAGGAGAGACAAATGCAAAGTTAGAAACACAAAGAAAATGAGTTTTCATACTCTGAGGGAAAAATCTCCACATGAGTAGCACTAACATCCATCATAATTTACTTTCCCCCCCGTCTCTATATTCTGAGGGTTTTCACAGAAGACTTCATTCATATCTATTTGWAGCTTGATTTATGCAATATTCTTTTCCTAAAAACATGGCATAAATTTATCTTTTTCTTGCTGCTGACAGTGAGCTTTGATTTATTTAATGATAAAAAATGCTCTCCAATATGCATCTTCTGTGTAAAAGCCTTTGACTGCAACATGTCAAAATAAATGTAACAAGCAAGCTGAGGGAGCCATTGTTATTAATTTCACTTAGTCGTATCTGAGTTTGGCACAAGATGATAAAAATGTGTTTAAACTCATATTTTGCTAATCTGAAGTTACTTAATCTTATGTTGTAGAGCTACAGAGCATATGTCAACACTGTCAGTGTTGTTTAGACTCATCAAACAACCGAAACCTGTTGAAAACTAATGACAATAATTGTTTCAACTTCGAGAAAATTGAAATGTATTCAGATTAAATAATCTGAATGCATCATTAATGTGGGCACAAAATGAATTAATTGGATCATGACAAGCGGTTACATGCACCAGGCTTTTATTCAGAATAGAAACATTGCCATGTTGGCACATCAGCTCAGTGGTTAGCACTGTCACCTCACAGCAAGAAGGTCCAGGGTTCAATCCCCRGTTTGGACCTGGGGTGCATCTGTGCTGAGTTTGCATGTTCTCTTCATGCCTGTGTGGGTTTTCTCTGGATACTCCGGTTCCCCCCACAAGCCCAAAATATGTACAATAGATTGCCTTTGGGCTCAGTTTTTCTTCCCCAACATATTAGCATTTAGCCAATAGGTGTGTAAATCACCAGATTAATCACAATATTATATTGATTTGTTTGGAAGAYGATCCAATAGTTAACAATATCACAAAGTCTGTCACAATACGATTTCATTTCAATTCACAAGTATGTGATCGATGTGATGTAATATCATATGCTCATCTAGCATAAATAATTGTTAAATGGGCATATGATATTGATCCACAGAGTATATGATGACTATATGGACTGATTTTTTATTTTACCCCAATGTAATTGAATCTTTAATCATTTAATCGATATATCAATGTGAATCAGTGTATTGTTACACCCCTACTAGCCATGTGGAAATATCTCAGGTTGACACAGTCAGGTCAGTTTTCCACAACCAGAATAACATGAGCAGAGTAAGTGTTCCATGCATGCCGTTCAGATTATCGATCGTTGTATACCACTCCTCTCATTTGGATTATAAATTCACTCCGATCAAGCTGAATGAGATCAGAATATTCAGATTGGCGCGTTCACACAACCCATTTTTAGTTGGCCGTTTATGGAGCTAAATTGGGGTCATAAGGTTTGTTCAAAATTAAAAAAAAAATGAAACTGAAAAAAGGAGATTTGAAACTGAAAAACAATTTTGAAACTGGAAAAAATATTTGAAACTGAAAAGACAAGATGTTTGAAACTTTTCCAGATTGTAATGCGTTGTTTTTAAGTTTCAATTTTTTTTCAGTTTCAAGTATATGTATTTTTTCAGTTTCAAAATTATTTTTTTCAGTTTCAAAATTGTTTCTCAGTTTCAAAATTATTTTTCAGTTTCAAATCTCCTTTTTTCAGTTTCAAATTTTTATTTTTATTTTGAACAAACCTTATGACCCCAATCTAGCTCCATAGCCGTTTATCCTGAATACTTATGTCCACGCAATCAAAGCTACTAAACCTTTAAATAATGCCAACATGGCAGCATCATTTACTGGCACGAAAAGCCAACTTTGAAACCAACTCAGGTTTGTCATTTCAGGAACTCTGGATTTGCAAATATGAAGCAAAGAAGACAACTGTGATGGTGTTTGTCGATAAAAAAATACTTTCACATGGCTGATCTTAAGCACAACAAGCAAACAAACAAACAAACAAACAAACAAACAAACAAACAAACAAACAAACAAACAAACACTACCAAGGGTGGAGCAAAGCAGCAAAAATGAGAGCACATGAAGTAAAATGGCTCATAAACGTCTCTTCGGACAGTCCTCATTACACGTGGCTGAGAATCATTAAGTTACTCATGAAGCCAAAAAGCAAATTATAAAAAAAATGTTAGAGTTTTGATTGTAAAAAAAATATACATACACACACACACACACACACACACACACACACACACACACACACACACACATATATA